GTCGTGTGTGCCCGTCGCGTGTGTCCGTGCACCGTTAGCTTAGGCAGCCACAGAGCAGCCAGGCGGCTTCCGTTCCCCCTCGACCACGTGGTCTTTTTGCAAATGTGTTTTTCGACGTCAATAATTTGTTTTCTATGTTCCAAGCCACGTGGTCCCTAAGATCGTTAGAACGTCATGCGGGGGCGGCTTCCTGTTGCCACTCCCCGGACAGTCTGGCCGCTGCAGTTTCTAGGACGGAAGGGACATCTCGAAGCTGGAGACGCCCCCACAGAAAGCGAGCGAGACCCTGGGCACCGCAGGTCCCTCTCCGGGAACTTGCGTTTGCTCTGCGCCGTGGCCGCGCTGACCTGCCGTAGCCTCTGCCCTCCCGCGCTGCACACCGTTGTCCCTGGGCCACGGGGCGCTCGCCTGCCATCTCCCTCGCCTCCTTTTCAAGGCTCCCCAGCACGTTACGTGGCTGTGGCTGTGGCCTGCACAGGCCCCCTGTGCCCTCCACACGCCTCGCTGGCGTGGCGCACCAGGGTCGCCCCCTCCAGGACTGTGCCCTCACGCCTGGGACAGTGTCTGGTCCCCTTGCTGTTCCCGAAAGTGCTGCTGGGTACACACAGTGAACTGTGCGTCGTCACTGCTGGAAACCCAGAGTCAGCACAGACCGTGTCAGGTTCAAGGGAAACATAGTCCACTCTGTCCTGTGTGTGTCAGACGACAGCCGGACTCTTTCGTCCAGGTGTCACATCTGAAAACAAAAGTTGGCACTCCAGAGAATAATTCTCGGAGGACCTTCCAGTTGTTGGTCACACATGAGATCTCCAAGCAAAGAGCTGCTGCTCGGCCTGGAGGAGACCGAGAAGGGTTGCCATGCTACCTGACAGGTGCGAAGGGCCACGTGGAAGGGAGACATGGGCTTGTCACCAGATGAACAAGGACACACAGATGGAAGAGACGGGGAAGAAAAAAAGAACGAATAGAAGGTCCACAGGTCCTCGCAAGTGGCCCCGCACGACAGCGCTGGCCCGCCTGCAAGGCAGCGACCTCCCGTCCCGGCACATTTTTGGGGGTCCTGGGAAGGCTGTGAAGTCCTTGTGTCGGGCAGGGGGTGCAGCTGATCACCTCCAGGCCGGGGACAGCCTGGTTTCCCGTGGTGGCTGGGAGAAGCCAAGACCTAGAGTCGGAGCCACTCAGGGTGGGAGGGCGGGTCTGGCAGCACAGAGGGGGCATGGGCTGGCGGCGAGCCACCTGCAGCCTGTGCACGGGTCACGGGACCATCTCAGATGCCAGTGGGAGGCAGGCCTGGGAGCCAGGAGGCGAGGGACAGGAGCAGGCAGGCAGAACCTGGTGAGCTGCAGCCCGGCCCGTTCGTGGGCCAGACACCTGCTTCGGGAGCTCAGTCCCTGGGGGTGACCGCAGAGCAGGTGGGACACAGGCTGCTGGTCGGACCGTGGGTGGTCTGCCCTGGTGGGCGGGGTCCAGCAGCCTGGGAGCTGGGGAGGAGGGGAGGAAGCACACCGAGTCCAGCAACCTTCGTGACTCTGTAACCAGGATCCGGCCTTCTCTCATCGGCTCACAGACATGTCCTCCCACGTGCTCCCACCACGTAGCAAATGCCAGTTCTGAGCAAGGGCCGGAAAACAGTGGACCTCCTCCTTGAGACCCTCAATCAGTGCGCATGTGCGTTCGTGGTGTGTGCCTGCGTGTGCATATGCATGCTTGTGCCTGTGTGTGTGTGTCCTGCCCTCTCCCACCTGCAGATTCTCAGGGTCTCGGGCTGGCCCCGGAGGCTGATGCTGGGGAGGAAGGTGATCCTCCAGCCGACTTACAGGAAGCCAGGCTACCCCTCCAGCCCAGGGGCCTGACGAGGGCACTTCTGAACCCAGAGGAACATACTTCCACTGGTGGGACTTCTTTCAGCCTGTAGGGACAAGGACCAGGTGGAACGAGGAAGCTGTTTGTCACTGGCAGCTTGGCCAACACAAGCCAAACATCCCTGCTCAGGAGGCGGCTGAGCTTGCACCCCAGCCCGCCCCGCCATCCGCCCCCCTGAGAGGCCAGGAGATGGGAACGCACCGCACTGGGGACTCAGCTGCTTGTGGCTCCAGGCTCAGCGGGCCCTGGCATCCACTGTCCTCACTGTCCTGTCGACTGAGGCTTCCTGGCAGAAA